TGTCGTCACTGTCCGACCCCGAACTCGCTGCCATCATCTCGAGCTGCAGCGCGCCGTCGCCGTCGCCGACGTTGGTAATTTCATCTTTGATAAACTCACAAAGCCGCTTGACACCTTCGCTCTCGGTCTGAGCATCTAGTAGACGCCTATTGGCTTCTTGATGCTCAGATGCAAGCTGGGCGTTTGCCTCCTCAAGTTCGTGAACCTTGGCCAAAAGTTGCGAGACGAGCGCTTGCTCTCGTACGGAATGGCCGAGTGTGGGGAAAGACCGAGAAGCGGGGAGGTGGTTGGTGGATAACGAGACACTCGGCGAGGACTCGTGGTCGTTGACATCAAGGCCATCTTCAGCATCGCTTTGGAAATTCGAGTTTATGGTTGAACATGACATCTGTTTGCGAATGGACGTCCGTCTCGGAGACACCCAAGGCGCTGCAGGAGCGAAATCTTTGGGATCTTCCAAGCTGTTCTCTTCTTGAACCTCCCAGGGCCTTGTCCTCGCCCGCATCTCGCGAACTTTCTCGTCCCTCCTCAGACGCTTCCACATCTTCACCAAATCCTCTTCGAGACCCTCCGGCATACCCTCGAAGACCGGTTTCCCCCCTTTGGTGAGTCGTCCTTGCTCCCGCAGGGTCTCCTCGAGACGAGCACTCGCACTGCGAGTGTGGTCAAGTTCGTCTTTAAGGCCTTGAATTTCCTTCTCGAGGCCCTTAAGACGACGTTTTCCTGTCTGTTCTGCACGGGCGGCCTCGTATTCGAGATCTTGCATCTTCGTCAGGAGCTCGGCATTCTGGTCCGCCAAAGCGGCGAGTTCGGCGGGGGTCGCGCTTGGTCGCCTGGCATGTGAGTGGAGGCGACGGTGCTTCTTTGTCGGGAGACTGGGAGTCCATACGGGAGGATCTGCCAGAGACTGTGAGGGGCTATGCGACGGAGAGAATGCATCGACGAGCGTGTGGATCGAGGGAGATGACGAAACAGAAAGCGAGTCGTGTTCATACTCTGGAATACGAGAGAGGAGTGTGTCATTCTCTGTCTTCAGAATCGCGTTAGTCGTAGACAACCGTTTGCAGGCTGCCGCCGTCCTGTCCAGTTCTGTCACTCGACGTAAGAGATCCACTGTAATTCACGAGAATGAAATACATACCTTCCTCCCTATCTCTAATTAAGATCCCCGCCCTCTGCAGCAACCCCTCGAGCTCTTCTTTCGATTTCTCCTGCATCCACGTCTGCGTCTCCTCTGGGCCTTCTTCCGCCAGCCTCATGAGCTTGGTTGTGACGCCAATTGGGGACCCCAACAAAGTAGATTTCTCAGGAATAGCAGCATACGGCGGTGGGGGACGCTGATCTGTCGACGACCGTAGCCGAGAATGCGATTGGGAGCGGCGAGCCCTCGCTGGGGGCAGGGGGCGAGGACTCATAGGCGTGTCGGAAAGCATGATGCCCAGGCCGAATTCTGAAAGGACGGGCGTAGATTTAAAGAAAGAAGATGGAGGCGAGATTCAAACGAAGCTGAGACAGAGGAAGTTGGGATGGGGACGTACACCATGTCCCTTCACTCTGAGCGTAAAGAGGCAAAAAGAGTGACGGGCGGCGAGAGGATCAGACCGTGTTTTCGAGCGAGTAGGGTGCGGCCGTCGTACCTGACCGCCTTAGACGCCCCAGAGAGCTTGAAAAACGATGGACAAATTTCAAGTGATTATGATTCTAATGCCCGCAACATGAAAGAGATTGTTGGTATGCTTTCTGCCTCGTTTTCTCGTCAGGGGGTCGCCGTCGGTGCTGTGTCGTAATTCGGCAACCTCAAAATACGTATTCGTTCGTGTTGTTCTGATGTCGTTCGCAAATGGACGTCTCGTTGTCTGCTGCGTCCTTAATTTCGTCTGTTTGATGCTCCGATGAAGTCGTCTTCGTCGCTCGGTTTTGCGGAGGTGGTCAGAGAGACGGAGGCATGACGTTCCAAATGCGCGTGCAGATCATCGACAGGAATGCCTCCGAACGACCTCTTCCGAACGACCACGACAGTGACGACACGCTCGGATCAACTCATTCGTCGACAAATCGTCGGACGACGACCATTTGCCACACTCATTGGCGAATAACGGCGGACGAGACGGGATTCGGTGCTTTGGACGCTCCAGGAGGCAGGTCAGCCATGGCTTCACTTTACGAGATGCTGCGGCCAACTACGGCGAGCCCGTGGATGAGAATCTCACAACTGAATGCTCTTGTGGGACGTCTACAGCGTCGTGGAAGATACTAAAGGACGGACGCGCAAGACGATTAGCTCCCTAGATATCAGCAGAGTTGAGCATTTCAGCTATCTACGTCCACTTCCAAACCATGTCAGCCCACTCTGTAAGTTTGTCAAGCATACAGCAATAATTTATATAATTATAGTACCTTGACAAGCTTTCTTTACAGGAAGTCCAAGACCCTGCCGTAGAAAAGGCTCATCAAAATGCTGTCGTAATGGGTGGCGTGAAAGGCTTCGTCGGAGGCCTGGCGTTCGCGGTGCCTGCCTCACTCATTGCCCAACGACGATGGCCGTACTATCGCTCGCTGCCTCCCAATCTCAAGACGTTTGCTGGAATTGCGGTCGTCGTGCCTGCCTTCATTATATGCGCCGAAAGAGCACACTTGAAGTTCGAGAAGACACAATGGTGAGAATGCCACTCCGTATGCTCCTTCATACTCACCGAAATCATTCCATCCAGGACTGGGACAGGAAAGGTTGAATTAGACACCTTAGCGGCACGTGCCCAAGCGCGCTGGGACAATATGAGCACGACTCAGAAGATGTCGGACTTCGCAAGCCGTCATCAATTTAGCTTATTGAGCGGAACCTGGGCTGCGAGTATGCTAGGCGTCTACGGCTGGCTGAGCCGCGACCCGTAAGAGCTCTCACTTCCGCTTGAATTTCCAGAGGCTCACAGTCTTGAAATTAGGCTTGCGACCCCATTTCAGAAGATAACACAGACGCGTGTATGGGTGAGTCCGATCATAATGAGACGCCGAAGTGCTGGTGAGATGCCAATGCTAATTCCGTTAACCTTGCAGGCTCAAGGAATGACGCTGGGGATACTGGTGTCCGCAGCTTTACTCACACACGGAAGGAAGCGGGTTGAGCACCATGATCATTCATGGCTGGATATCATAGAGGAAGAAGAGGCGGAAGCAAAGCAGAAAAAGCTACTACAGAATGCGCCGAAGGCATAGACTCGACATACATTCAAGATTCCCTAACAATTGTACTTTATAGATCGTGATTTTTGAGGCCTTCGGACAATTATAATTTTGTTTGATACCCCGGCCATTATGAATTTCCGAAGGTGTCTGAAGTACGGTGATTACTCTTTCATTTACCTGGACGATCTCCGAGGGATATCCGAGAGTCTTAATGAATTTCACAAGTTCGTCCCCAGCCTTCCTATCGTCGAATTTGCCTGCCCACGGAAAATTCTTTCAATAATTCGTCACTGGAATAATACTTCGAGTACATGTACAAGTTGTACATTCAAAAATCGAAAAAGAGACGCCAAAAGGTGATTCGCCGACATTTAGGACATCCAGACGAATCGTTCCGTTCACTCGATCGTTCGATCGTTGCTGTAACAATGCTCATTATGCTGTTCGCTGTATGCGTCATGCCGAAGCATGTGACCGAAATCCGACTTTGTCCGAAATCTGACAAAACCGCCGCCTTGCGCGCCTCCCGACTCCTTCCGAGCCAGCAAAGGGTATATTTACTGCTTTCGACTTGTGCGGTCGTACAACAACATTCACAACATACAAAACAGCCCTTCCATCCAACTCTACCTTCCACAGCATGAAGGTAAATTTGGATCTACTCTAGCTAACGAATTAAATTGATCTGGATTTTAGTTCGTCACCGAAGAAGTTCTTGAAGGACACGCCCGAGCGACGCGTCGCGGGGCGATTGAAGGCACTCTCGCTGGTCTTGCGCTCTCGGTCCCCGCATCGTTTGCGTTACATCGCAGATGGGCATATTACCGCTCTCTACCCATTACCATTAAGGTCTTGGGTGTCGTCCTGGTTGCAGCACCAGCGTTCGCGGTCCAAGCGGAGAGGCGCGGCGTCGAGTTCGACAAATCTCAATGGTGAATCTCATTCTCAACATATCTTTCTCTTCGTGGCTGAATTTGGGCGACTGTTTCGCTATGTAGGACTGGCATTGAGAAGGAAGAGCTCGACCGCGAGCAGTCGGAGATCGTGGCACGTTGGGGTGACATGAGCGTTACACAACGGATAGGCGACTGGGCCAGCCGACACCGATACGAATTATTCTTTGGATGCTGGGCTGGAAGTATGGCAGTGTCGTGGATGTTACTACGTGGTAACAAGACACAGTCATTCTCACAAAAGGTACGTTCATCTACTACCGACCTTCCGTTCAACGTTTTAACCTGACATCGGATATTGTCAGATCGTGCAAGCTCGTGTATATGCACAGGGAATCACTCTCGTATCTCTCCTTGGCGGCGTCTCTCTACTGCATATGCAAAGCCGAAACAAAGTCAAGGAGGATCCTTCGGCACATTCGTGGGCTCGTTTGGTGAGTACACTTATCCCTTACTCTTTTTTCACAAGTGAGCTAACCCATCTACTCGTCCAGCTTGAGGAGACACCAATAGACTCAAGAACACCGGGCGTAAAAGCTGCAATACACGCATAGATGATGGACATTCTTCTTTCACTCCATGACTTCAAAAAAAGTTTGCATCTAGAACGCATTTGGTTTCAAGTATTTTATTCCTGGCACACTCTACGATTCGATGTACAATAATGTATTCCGTATTTCAATCTAACACGTATCTTTCACTTCGTCCTGGAATTGTAATTCATCCATTCAACTTTCGTCGCAAGTGACCTAAATTCTGAGAGGAGAAGGAGACGGACTTCATTGTCTTCAAGGAGATTTTTTCTTCCTTTGATGTTCCAAAGGTTGAAACGATTAACATACGCAAATAGAATCAATTCACATGTGCCCTGTGGCTTAGTTGGCTAAAGCGTGTGACTGTTACAGTACATCACAAGATCGAGAGTTCGAGCCTCTCCGGGGCAGTTCATTTTTGCTGCATTCGACGTCATTGCGAATGCTTTCCTCTTGTTAGCATATGCAATCTAGTAACATTCGATTCATTTTTTTAATCAGGAAGACGTTGAACGTAATACTACACATACACTGACCTTGATTTCGAGGCAAAGAGTATCGAGCTCATCGAGCTCATTGCAACAGGAATCGCTCAAGTTCGTCACTAGTCTTCGTCAAGGAGATTAGTATTGATTATGGTACGTACATGGATGGTTCTGTAGTAGTGCAGAATGAAGTGGCGAGGAAGAAGCTATACTAATACTACAATACAGATGATTATGCTGAGGAAAACGGATTCGAAGGAGTGTGATGAGGTGCCAAATATTAATATCAATGCAGAAAAATGTAACGAATGATCTTCCGCCGGTGGCATTCCGGGTTGCATTGCTCTTCGCCTTCAGCAGCCGAGCGGTTTTTACAAGAGGTTCCCCAGTAACGTATTCTAGCCTCGCAGACGTTCCACTCTTCCTTGCATTTCTTCGCGCAGGAGTTGGGACCTAGGGAGGAGAACGAGGCGCTCCAGGCAGTTGGGCTCAGACAAGCCTTGGATTGGGCGGGCTGGCTGGGCCGTTCCCAAACCCCGCCTTCGAATCTTGAGATTGTTGAGTGGAGGACTGTTCTGATTGCTGTTGACGTGCGTCGGCGAGTTTCTGGATGAAGAGCATAGCTGTTAGCGTTTGAATACTAGTGAAGAGCGAGAAGAAACTTACGGATTTAAGAGATTGTATGCTGTTCAGGAGAGAGTCGAGCGCTGCGTCAGAGATGTCTGCAACCTAATGTCGAAGGAAGGATGGCGCATATAGTCAGTTAGAAGGTGAGAGATGTTAATGGCTAGGTACTTACCGCCTCTCCTGCTTGCCGGCGGACTTCACGAGCCTTTTCGGCTGGGGAGGGGTGTTGTGGTTGTTGGGAGTTGGACTCGAGCTGTGCGGCGTAGACCGGAGGTGCTGGTGCTGGTGCTTGGGCAGCTTCGGGAGCCTTGTTGCCGCCCCATGGCAGCCAAGTGCTTTTGTCGCTGCTCGCGACGGAGGGCGCGACGGGGGTTGCCTCGCGTCCTTCCATCGTCTGACCTGTCGAGGTGGAAGTCCACTTCCCGTCCTTGTACATCCATGTAACGGTGAACTGTTGCTCAGGAGGAGACGCCTTCTCGTCCTCAGATGACTGGTGCGGCACGGCGGGAGGAACTGGGTACGGCTGCTGCCACTGCGGCGAGGTCGACTGCGATGGCTGCGTAGCCTCGCGTTCACGTCGGCGATGGCAACCATGACCCCATCCCCAGCGCCTCGCACACTCATCTTCGCGCTCCGTGCCAGCTGCCGATCCTCCTTCGATGCGCTTCTCGTACTGCTCGTGTCTCGTCCAGAACGCATACGCGCCCGCACCGAGTGCAAGCCAGAAGACACGGCGGAAGAGCCCGAAGCCTCTGTGATAGCCCATGGGCCCGCCCCCGCCAAAACGGCCAAAGCGGGAGAAGCGAGCGAAGTGGTGGTGATGCCAGTCGGGGAATGGTGGAGGAGGGCCGGACATCGTTTGATGATAACTAGTAATTCAGTAGGCTGAGTGTTGTCGGAGTGATGATGGTCGGAATGTGAGATGTGTTGAGCTCACTTGGACTCCGGTCGTCGTGTTATATAGTGGAAAGAGGCCTACGCCGTCGCATTGCGCACGCCCCGCGGCTCACAGATGCGTGTCTGCGCTGCCGCCCGTCGCGCAAGCCTTGGCCGATGGCGGAGGGAGCTCGACGCGTACGCATCACCCCGGCACAGGAGCGATTCGTCGGACGCGGCAAAGGCACGTGAGCTAGCCGAGTACTTGTCATGCAATTTTACGTGGTCACTTTTTCTTTCTTCAAAATTTTGACGTGTTTGAAGAGACTCGTTGAAAGCCTGCGCAAGAGCGTGAAGCCGAGAAACATCTGCAATTGAAATTCATGTACGCGCCGAAGACTCGTGAGGCCGAGGATGCCAAATGTGCGGCGGCGCACGCGTCACACCGTGCCAACTTCGAAGTTTGAACTGCAATCACAAATGATAATCTCAGCGAAACGATTCCAAACACTCTTGAAGGATTGTCGATAATAAACAGACCAGAGATTCGGAAGAGCATTGTTTGTGACGAACTGAATTCTTGAATCACGCGAAGATATTGGAGGCACATGTAGGACCATAATTATTTTGTGGTTGTAATCGTGAAGTACATATGCGTGCATGCAAGATGAAAACGACGCGAAATGAGGAGAAAGAACCAAGACGATTACTCTGCGGCACCGCCAGCAGTTACTCTTGCTAGAAAAGATTCAAAAAAGCGTATGAGATCGTGAACACGACATGGAAAAGATAGCAACGCACTGTAGATTAACTGCGACGAGTGTCTTGTAATCCTCTTGATGAGGTTCTGCTTCTCGAGGTGGTTTACGAGTTGGCGGGCGAGGGAACCGTTGACTTTGAGACGTTCAACGATGATGGAGACGGAGACGAGCTTCCAGGTAGGAACCTCCTTCATGGCACGGTCATATGTCGCCTGGTTGAAGATGACGGCGTGAACGGCCTTGTCCTTGACCTTTCCCTTCGACCACTTCTTTTTCTTTGCTGCCTTTCCGACGCCGCCCGCTGCTTTAGCTTTGGCCTGCACAAAAAGTGAATTATCGTCAGCATGCCATCCAAAACTTTATGAAGCCATCCATCAACATTGGGACGTTTGAAACCATCGTGAATGGTACAGACGTGTCCTATGGATATCTGGCGGCATTGACTATGAATTGGAGGATACTCACCATGGTTGTTGACGGCCTGCGTTGACGATGTGACGAATGTCGAGGAGCGCGGGGTTGAGTGAGCAGCGCGTGTTTACAGTTGTTTGCACCGTTTCCATTCTTGTCAGAAATCTTCGAAAACATGAATTAAATCAGAAAAATATTAGACAGCTTGTTCTTCGTAGTTTGAAACAATATAATTATTATGATAAGAACAAGTTGTGGGTCTTTTCATTCGTTCGGAGAGCAGCTGAAACTATTGTTGCGTGTTCAGAAGAGTCATTCTCGACACCTCACCAGTCATTCAAGTCCATCCAATGATCCATTAACTCGCGCGATGTACAGAATTATGCACTATTTTACCTATAGATCTAGAGTTCCTCCTTCTTTGCAGACGGCGCCTTCCCTTCCAATGGCAGACAAAGAGCCGGAGAGGTACCAGTGATATGATATTCACACTTCTCGGGTTCCGTAACAGTATGAAGTGCGTTCTCCGTGCCGCAAGTGAGTGAAAGCTGTGGGCGAAAGGGATTCCGGTAAGTAGAAAAGCAATGGGGTTTACTAAAGAGGAGCTCACGGTAACGCTCCTTTCAGGACCATTCCAGCATCGCACACCACCTTTGTAGTATTGCTTCGAGTAATACTCTGGCGAACCAACCTCCACGCCAGGAGCGTTGTTCCAATGCTTGAATTTGCTATTGACCAGTCAGAGATCACGATCATTTAAACGCGGAAACTATGAGACTCGCCCGAGGCTGAACGTTTGAGCACTCTTGTTTGGCTTTTGCCTTGCTTCCCCAAACAAGCAGATCTCGTAAGTATACCTACATCGAAATTAGTCTCAGAGAGCGTCGCAATATCGTAAATCAAGTCTCACTCTCCAGTATCCTTCTCCAGGCATAGCTCATCAAGCTTTTTCCAAACACCGTCGCGTCCGAACCATTCGGGATCGAAGAGGCTCGCGAGCTCCTGCTCTGCGTCGTCTTTGTCGTTGCGTTTGTGTCTGAGATCGTTTTCCGCATTTTGGTGAGCAGACCTGGCTTTCGACGTATCTAAATAATGATCAGATTTGGAGCGGAAAGGACGTGCTGACGTTCATCTTTCATACCTGCTGTGATATCACGGTTGCCTCTTGCTACACCGAATGTCTCAAGCATGGATACAATATAATCCCGAACTAGTTCATACTGAGGAAGTAACAAATCAGGGAGATAAGATGAGAGGTCGAACACTGGACGAGGTCAGAATTCGTGAAAGAACCGCTGAATAAGAAACACGACGTACAGACAGATTTGGTCGTTTCATCTCCAATGTGCTTGTCATGCTCGAGAAGGAGATTTACGTGGTCCACGTTGATGAGTCTGTCGAGGTCGTAATCGAGTCGACCAGCACTCCACATGCCCTCTTCAAGTTCCTCTTCCGCTTCTTCTTTCCCTTCCTCAGAGTTTTCGGCATTGTCGTCACCTTCTTCATTCTGAGCATCGCCGTGCGACAGGCCCGCGTACTCCTCCCAGCCACGTACGGCTTCGAGAACAGCCATATCTTGGTAATTCGGGTTGTATCCTCCACGAAGCGCGCTGAGGATATCGGCAAGTATCTTCTCTTTCTCCTTCAATTTCTCATGTTCACGCTTGAGAGACTTCAGCGCGAAGTGGTGTTCCGTCAATGATTCAAAAAGTGCTGCAATGAGCAATTAGTATTTACTACACATAAATAAAGAGTAAGTTACATACGTGATTGTTTCTTGAATTCGAGGTCAGCAGCGGAGATAGATTCGGTGCGGTCCAAAATGTCTACGAAATTGGAGCCATAGTAAGTGTCATGTTTGACCACGTACAAAATTATATTACCTTGTAGTCGAGCAACTTCACTTTCTTGACTCTCGACTTCCCTTGTCAACGTGGCAACGAGATCCTCCAATCGTTTCTTCTCCTTCGCAGCAAACGAGATGTACGTGGAACGTATTTTTGCACCCTGTTCAAGAAGATAATTAAACCTCAGGTTGATGTCAGTGTATAGTGACATACAGTGCGCCGTGTCTTCATTTCGGCTTCCATCTTCTGGCGGTATGCCTCGCCGATCTCAACACAGAGGTTGGGACAAACACCAGGCTGCTCGTCTGAACCATCACAACACTCGGGCTCTGGTGAATTTTTATTTCTTCAATTCTGAAGTTTGGACGGTGTGTAGACGCTGACACGTACCGCATAAACCATCG